GTGTTAAATTTTCAAACTCCTAGAAATATTGGTCGTTCTACCTGTTTCAACGAGTGCAAACGAAAGATCCTTTTCGACTTTGCGCCGTTTGAAGTTTACGCAACTCAACGGGAAATAATACAATGAATGGATTGGCGCTCTTAAGCATTCATAGAAAATTTACCCCAGCTGTCGAAGACATTTTAAACGAATTTGCAAAAAAAAACCGTCGTATAAATCAATAAATTTTTATCGTGTTTGTATACTGGTTTAATTCCCTATTTGTTGGTAAGTCATTTTTTAGTTAAATTCATTGGTTCTCTATGGAATATTCACATTTATATGGTTATTATTTAGGTAGCTGTTACAGTATGAGTAGTTTTTTCTGGCTTGATTTATTCCTACTTTTTAATAAAAATAAAATATTTTACCTCTTATTATAAAAAAAATTATATTCTTAAACTTAAAAAATAAAAACAAAATTTAACTAAACAATGTTGTCGAAATAAAAAGTCAAAATTGTCTAGCTGTCTAAATTAGGGAAGTAATAGTGCTTTATTACATACACGAATTTCTTTTAGTAATTTCTGAAAATTATGAACCCCCCCCCCTTGAAAAAATTCTGCGTAAGCCACTGATTGAAATATTTCTTTTCAACAAATGAACATACGTAGGTATACCCATAATTGTAATTGTTTTGAAGTAAAATAACTTAAGTTAAATTTTGAATTAATCAGTTTGATTTGATAAACTCAATGTTATGTTAAAATATCGTTAAGGGCTAGTTGAGTAATATTTCATGTAACAGATATTTTAATCCAGTCGGCCGAAAACTTCCCGTGTATTAATTTGTGACTGGTGCTCGTTAAATCTGTCAGGTCACACAGTTCTCCATGTTCTAATGACAAATTATACCTCTGGGGGTACTCAATTGGAGATTGATCGCTCTCTGGTTCTGGTCAAAATTACGATCTGTGGATGAATGAATGGATGTATGAATGGGTTCACCCTATAAACTGGTGTAAGGTATGGGTGTGGCAGAAGTCGAAATCTTGGCCATAGATGGCGCCACTGGAAAACAAGAACAATCGCTCCCCTTGCCTTAATGGCCTACGACAACAACAGATATTTTGGATATGTTACGGTATTGTATCAACCACAAAAGTATCATGTTCCTTTCAAACGGTTTAGCAACAATCAAAACTTATGCCTTAATTGTATGATGAACAAAATATACAATTTGAAGAGATTTGAATAAAAACAATTGATATTTAAATCAGTTTTTTTAGCGCATTTATTAAAAATGTTGTTCTTTTGAAAATTATAATTGCGACTAGCTGACTAGTACATTTCATTCAATCGAGGATCTATTCTATAGTTACATTTCATTCAATGAAAAAATGATGATAATGAATCTGATACTTCTCTATATTATAGTCTAAATATATCTGCAACAGTTGTTTGAGCTACTAAGATAAGATAACCAAGGTATAATAAAAAGAGAAATGCAAAAAAAAAGAAAGCAATATCTTCCTTTAACTATATTTATCATTTTGGAACAGGTATTTTTTTAAAAAGATATTGTTTCGCAACGAGAATATGTTTCGAAAAATAATTTTTACAACCCATCTCCATAAATTAACACATTTAATTTTCTCGAAATATAAGAGTAGTGTTTAAGAGAAAAAAAACAATAAAAGTAAAGAATATTTATTTTAGGTTGTTATTTTCTTAATTGAAAAAATAATTGTTTAACATAAACTCGCCTGTGAAAAAAAAAAAAAGCCTAGAGGAATTAAGATATTGTTTTGGTCAAATGTTTACTTATTATGGATTGGGCGCCATCTTTGAGGCAACCAATGACATGAACCAGCATGTTTAGTTTAACATTGTGCATAATCAGTGTATGCTTTTTTCCGTGATAAGTATGCTGCTGATTGTATCCATTTTTCTGGAAGACATCATCGAGTTAACTGAATAAGTGACTGGGTTGAGAAACGCGAACATTATTACAGCTCGAGTGGCTTGCCACGTGCACGTTACCGTGAATGTCCGAAATCATCAAGAGAATGTCGACTTTCACCCGTGAATGTCAACAATCACATAGCCGCTTTGGTGAATGCCCGAAATACTCGTTATATCCGATTTGATATTAATTATTCGTTGATATTATTATATGTATTCGATATTTTAACCCCTTCCTTCTCGCTCCCGTGAAAATGACGGGCTGAGGTGTCGCCCTCTATTTCTAGCTCCCGTGATATTTCCGGGCTGGAGTGTTCAGTAGTAACGCGCCAATAAGAAAAAAAAACTATTTCATTTATTTTGCCCAGAAAATATTTTATTTCTCATTTTACACACCAGATGGCAGTACCAGAATTATTTTTAAGGTAATTGCTTCAGAAGAGATGTTGGAAGAAAACTCGGTACTACTGTCCAGATTGTGACGTTGGCCTCTGCATCTCATGCTTTGAAATTTATCACACAAGAAAAAATTACTAATGTTCGGAGTAAAAGGCAAATGTATACTGGGCTGTGGCACTGAACCTTAAAAAAACACCAGTGTAGGGTATACCGGGGCAATGTATACCGTGCTGTGGCACTTCAATAGACCAAGTATACATTTCGGACATTTACCAAAGCGACTATGTGATTGTCAACATTCACCGGAGGAAGTCAACAACCACCCATTTCTGTCATTCGCAGTAACACACACAACTAGAAGCCATGTACAGTGTAAGCGATAAATATTCTTTGGTGTGAGCTCACTGCCTAACTGAATCCAGGCTGTTATAAAAATCTAAAAGCAATATTAAAGCAGTTTTTTTTTTTTTTTTTTTTNATTTTTTTTTTTTTTTTTTTTTTTTTTTTTTTTTTTTTTTTTTTTTGCCATGGGAGTTTGTTTTATACTTACGTTCAGCGTCCTTCATTTTTGAAGCCAGCATCTTCTGTGTCAGATATATTTTCGACTTGACTCGTTGAAGTTTCCGCACAAAGTGGTTGATGGCAGCATCTTTCTCCTGATAAAAATACAATTAAGATAGCCAATAAAGATAAGAAATAAAATTTAATTTAAGATGAATTGAAACAATTGTTTTATTTACGTCTAAATATTTGTTGCATTAAAATTTGCGGGCAGAAAAGGAACCAAAAAGAGCATCTAATTAACACTAAAACTTTAAATTTATCAGTATAACTTTTGTTTAAAAAATTAAATATTTGTTTAAATAAAAACCTTACCTTTTTTAGTGTAATATTTTAGGAAGAAAAAAATATATGATTTTCAAACAAATTTAATAATAAAGTTTCAAACCATTAAAGTTTACATATTTTTTTACTTCTATGAAGAATTAAGAATATTTTGTAGGAAATAATAAATTTAAATTAAGAATTTCGATTTTGTAGGAATAAATAGGGAGTTAACGCACTTTTACGTTAGCTTCCCTACGCTCCCATACGAAAGACTGAAGCAACTGCGCATGCTCAAAATTTATTTTAGATGCTACGTATCTCTACGATATGCTGGTGCGATTTAAGCTACAAGCACGCTGTTTATAACTGTTAAATGTTTTCTGTTTAAACCTACCTTCGAACTAAAAGCATTGGACATAAGATGCGAATTTGAAGAAATGTATTGATGAAATTTAGAAATGAATCGTGTGATCTTACAACCATTGGTTCATTCAATAAAAAAACAATTTTTATTGGTTCTTGCTTACCATGATGGTTGTTCAATTGCACTAGTTCCGTAAGAAACTAGATGTATTTTTTTCGCTGCTTCGAAATTATAANCATGGACATGGAATGCGAATTTGAAGAAATGTATTGATGAAATTTAGAAATGAATCGTGTGATCTTACAACCATTGGTTCATTCAATAAATAAATAACTTTATTGTTTTTTGTTTAACATGATGGTTGTTCAATTGCACTAGTTCCATAAGAAACTAGATGTATTTTTTTCGCTGCTTCGAAATTATAAATTATGTTTATTTTAGCAATACAATTTGGATAAAAAGAGTTAAATAATCTATAGAAGTTCAATAATATATTTTTAAACATTATCATTTATAATAAAAATAAGTTGCATTCTTCATCTATGAATTCATCGGAATCTAATATCAACCAAATTTTTCTGCTCACAGAAAGGCAGCTTTACGTAAAGCAAAGCATCTTGAATCGTATACCACAGCCTTACAGAAATAGTCTACATCCATTGTAAATGCTTGTTCTGATTTTATGGTCAAAGTTAAAATAATATTTCACTACGTTAGCGTTTTTAACTGACGGAGTTTTGCAAAATCTCTTATTTTTACTTACGTAACTTTGATATTTTTTCACTGGTGCATGGGCACTTCACCAGAACTGACGCGTGCGCACTAGAAATGCCCATGCGCCATTACTTGAAATCCTACGTACTGGTACTCTCAAGAAGTTAACATAAATTTGCGAAATCTTCCTAATATTGTTCCCTTGTTTACTTAATTGAATCGACTTTTTTTCCCTCTTGAGAGTATAGTATTACACTCCTCTTTTCAGAGGCAACTAAAGCAGTTACACACCTCAGCACGCCGCTAACTAATCGATCGCCTTACACACCTCTGCACGCCATTAACTAATCGATCGCCCAACACTCCTCAGCACGCCATTAACTAATCGAACGCCCTACACTCCTCAGCACGCCATTAACTAATCGATCGCCTTTTACACCTCTGCACGCCATTAACTAATCGATCGCCCTACACTCCTCTGCACGCCAGTAACTAATCGAGCACTCATACCCCTCTGTACGTCACTAGTTTAAATTTACGTGACAAATTTATAATTAGTATCGTGCTTTCTCATTAAATTAAATATTTTGATATTAATTAAATATTTATTCAGCTTTTACCAACAGCTTTATTTTTGTTTGGGTAGATCATTACGTATTTCTTTTAAAGACGGTTTCGTTTTAAAAAGGAAAACATTAATTCATAAAATTTTAATAATGTTTTGTCTAGAGCATTTTATTCTTAATATTTTAAGTAAATATCTGAAAAATTATTAAACAAATATTTGTTTGTAAAATTCATAATAGTTAACCGTAGAAGGTCGAACTTTGTTTTGAAAATGACTCTTTTAGAGATAATATACGTAGAAAACTAGTCAAGCTTCAAATCCTTGAAAATTATTCCACATTATAAAGTGATAAATCATTCATATGAACCCTAATTCCATCATAAATAAATCTCTTTGCATAAGAAGTTAGATATAGAGATAAAATCAGCATTAATCTTGATCTCATTAAAATTTAGTAACAAAGGTTTTTTTTAAAAAAAATCGAGGAAATTTTACACCAACTCACGAGTTCCGAAAGGAAATTAAAATTTTTGGATGCAAAAGTTGCGAAATTAATTATCTGGCATTTTGCCTATACGTCAAGGCTATTTAATTTCCTACTGTCACACAAAACCTAGTCACTGAAAGATGCATTTGAAGTCAATTACATTAAAACAATTAATTTGTCTACATCCATGAGCAGTTGGCCTCATAAAATCCCTCCTTTTTATGTGAACAAAATAAAATTAATTTTCGATTGACCAGCATATTATTCTTGAAAATATCAATATTATATTATTCCTATTAATAATGTTGTAATTAAAAATTTTAATACATTTTGAAAATTATAAGGATGCTTTTCTGTTTTGATATAAGAAACTAGACCCAAAAGTATAGATTACGTTTACTAAAGCTGTAAAAAATTATTTAAAATGTAAAGAATAATCGAAAATTTGTTTTATAAAACATATTCTCCGTCAAAAATAGCCTTATTGAGAGTCTGTGTAAAATAATTAACGAATATGTGAGTGTTTTTAAACTATATTTTTCTATAAGGTGCCCAAAAGAGTCGGTATTCTCTATTTTAATTTTCGAATGGCTGCAGCAATTGTGATTAAAAGTTGTGTTTAGGTATAGCAAAGAAGATATTAGCAGCAAGGGGGACCACTTGCAGCACCACAGGTGAAAAATTAAGACTAATGCTAATATTCTCTATATTAATATGTGCTATATTAATAAGACAAATATTTATTATATTATTTATTTAATGTTAAGATTTACCTTGCGAAAAAGAATTTGTTTGAAATGAATAATCCTAAGAAACTGAAGCATGCTTCAGAAATGCAGGCTTCCTAACTTCATTCTCTTCAAAAATTAAAGAAGTCAACATGTTTCAAGCTGGCGCCCATTCTCAAGACCTTACAACACGTGAATGATAAAATAAAAGCTTCGAAAAAGAAAACGCAACACAGCCATCGAAAAATTAGAAATCAAAATAAAGAGGGGAACTGAGCAAACAAAATCGCTGTTACCGAGGGGATCTACGGTGGCCAAAAAAGGTGGGATATATTTCCAAAGGGAATGGATAAATGGTGCAGAAGTCTTTTATGCGATGGAAACGAGATTCCAGAGTTTCAAGGTAAGCTGTTTGTTCGTAAATTCCTACATTGCGACGTGACGGAATAATCTTAGAAAGAAAAGAAAAAGATAGCTTTACATCACAAGACATATTTTTTCGATGTTCAAGCTTCTCTAAAGCATCGGAATAAAAGGGAGATTTCACACTTTTACGTTAGCTTCCGTAACCTCGCGATTGAATCAACTGCGCATGCTCGCGTTTATTTTAGAAGCTGAAGTATCTTTACGTTTTTTGGCGTGATTTATGCTACAAAGACAAAGCTACTCGCAAACTGTTTATAGCTGTTAAATGTTATTATCTGTTTAAGTCTACCTTCGAACTATTGGGAGTACAAATTGGTTCGGTTCGTTTTTAAGAGATGGCTCTGCTGTTATGAATGCTTCATAGTGACAGCTGGTTTCGGTCGTTTCAGAGAAGTTAAACATCTGTCAATAATATTCAGTTTATATCGCTCTGAGTTTCATACAAAAGCTCAGTTTTTTAATTTGTTGAGTATGTCAAGTTTTGTGGTAACGAAGCACCATTTGCGGGAGGTTTTATGTTTCTGCTTTATTTAGAAGAAAAGTGCAGCTGAAGCGCATCGAATTCTTGTACAAGTTTATGGTGACAATGCTCCAGCTGATAACTCGTGTAGGGAATGGTTTCGACGTTTCGAGAATGGTGAATGGTAAATGAAGAATGGTGAATGAAGAATGGTGAATAGTTTTGTATACTATGAGCTGTCACAACCTGGTGATTCCATTACGGGCGATCGGTATTGGCTACAATTGATTCGTTTGAGCCGTGCATTACGAGAAAAACGACCGGAATACGAGCTAAGCCATGACAAAGTTATTCTTCTGCCTAATAACGGTCAGCCTGATGCCGCAAAAGTCGTAAAAAATTATTTGGAAACACTCAAATGGGATATTTAACCGCACCCGCTGTATTCTCTGGACACTCCTTCTGATTACTGGTTGTTCCGACTGATGCAGCATGATTTGGCAGGTCACCAGTTCACTTCTTTCGCAGAAATCGAAAATTCCTCAAAAGGCGAGAAATTGTTTCGAGATGGAATTCGAAAATTGCCTGAGAGTTAGGAAAAAGTAGTAGCCAGCAATTGACAATACTTTGATTAATCTGTTTATTCATTTTGTTCTGAAATAAATGCATTTTTGATCACAAAAAGACGGGCCGAACTAATTTGTACACCCAATAAAAGCATTGGACATGAGATGCGAATTTGGAGAAATGTATTGATGAAATTTAGAAAGGAATCGTGTGATCTTACAGTCATTGGTTCATTCAATAAAAAAATTATTTTATTGGTTTTTGTTTAACATTATGGTTGTCTAACTGCACTAGTTTCATAAGAAACTAGATAAATTTTCGCTATTTCAAAATTATAAATGATATTTATTTTAACTATACAATTTAGTTAAAAGATGTTAAATAATCAGTGGAAGTTCAGTAATATTTTTTTAAATATTAACATGAATAATAATAATAAGCTGCATTCTTTATCGCTGAATTCATCAAAATCTGTAATCGATCTTTTTTTTTTCTTCTCACAGATCCGCAGTTTTACGTAGAACAAAGCATCTTGCATCGTATGAAACATCCATTGTAAATGTTTATTTTGATTTTGAATCAAAGTTAAAATGATATTCCACAACCTTAGCGTTTTTAACTTACGGATTTTTGCAAAATCTCTTATTTTCACTTACGTAACTTTAATATTTTGTCACTGATGCATGCGCATTTCACCAGAACTGATGCTTGCGCATTAGAAATGCCCAAGCGCAATTACTTAAAATCCTACATACGGGAGTGTACGGAAACTAACATAAATTTGCGAAATCTTCCTAATATTGTTCCCTTGAATTAATTTTCGAAGTCACTGCTTTATGAAATGTATTATTGTTTTCCCTAAAAATTATCTTAGAGAAAGCAGTAAATTCCCGTTCCCTTTTTGTTTGCATTTCAAATGAAAAACTCAGTTCAAATTAACGGATTTCCATAGCAATTTAACTAAAAATCCTTTTGCTACAATAAATAAAAATATCTCTCAAACAACTAAAATCATATGTATCCATACTTACCACTTCAACGTTATATTCTCCACCTAAACTGACGAGAATTTTATTATTTTGACCAACATCTCCTTGAATAAACATCTAATACTTTATTAAAGAAAACAAACAGAGTTTTTTTTTCATAACTAACTACCTACATATACTAACATGCATTATTAAGTTTCAATTGTTTCCTAAGAAGCAGAGTTAATCTATCTTCTATATTATATAAAACGCTAATACGTATGTATCAATAAAACCGATGATATTTCTTTTCTCGCGTTGGCAACAGTTTTCATTTTTAATTGACAGGATTCGGCGCGCAAGAGCACGTAGTGAGCATCATATGTCTAATCGGGTGAATTCTCATCGAATTATCAAAAAAATTCTCACAAAATTATCTCTATCGAAACCGATGCTTTACATCCGGTGTTCAGTAGTATTTCATATTGTTTTACAACACATGGTTTTAGCCCTCTGGTGGGAAAGACTTTAAAACAAAACTTACAATAGTTACTTTTCTCAACAACTGAAATTTAGAATAGTGTGATTAGGAAAAATATGCGAGCTGTTTGCAATTTCAAATTAATATTGAAATGCACAGGTTTAGAATTTTCTACAGTGAAA